GATGGTGCAGGGGTAAAACCGTCATTGTCACTATGCTCCGTGGACAAACTTTTACTATATTTCTAGCGTCGTGATTACGTTCCGTCATTATAAACCGTCATTGTCACTATTCTCCTGGTGAACTTCAGGAAAAGTGGCGGATGATGCCTATAAATCCACACCTCTAGCTGCAGGAAACTCATGGGCAATTGTGCTTTAGTTTTTTTCGTTTCTTATAAATTATTTCCCAGTCTTCTCAAGCTTTATAGCATACAGCACAGGAAAACCATGGAGAATGGTGCTCCAGAATCTGTGTCCCGACTCTGGCATAGAGCACGACAAATAGCATCACAGCAGCTAACACGTCTCGGAGAAGATCTGGTCGACAATCCCCATGATGAGCGGGAAAAGGAATGGCAAAAGGTGCTTATAAGCACTTGCTTCACATCAGGAATTGAAATAGCCCTTCATTTTCACCAAATTACTGATTCCAAACTCGATTCCTTGCATTTAGTCTGTATCCTTGTTGCAATTATCTTTTCTTGCCTCTTTGTTTCACATTTTATCAACCCCGCCAAGTTTCCGATGACATCCAAAGTATTGGGTAAAGTTGCCGTTTTCCTGGCAGCCACCGTGTTTTTCATCACCATTTCAATCCCATTCCCCCCTGGTGTCAAGTGGACTACTTGGATAATCTATGCCATTTCGTTGCTTGTTATTGCAATCTGCAATCTCTGCTACTAGACATGAGCTTTACATGGCATATGTTTTTTCTGTTAGTGTTTGTATTTGTTCTTCGTAACAAGGCTTCCATTTGCATGTTGTAAGGTGTTGAAATTCAGTGTAATCACGGTGTTATGTATAACCCTTGATCAATACAATATAATATGGGCCTAAAAAAACCTTTTATGTAGTATCTATGAGCTAAGAATGTAGAAAGGACGTTATCATCAATCCAGGTCTATGGTCTCATGGGGCATAACTCCCGCCGAGTTAAATAATAATTATTGCATTGAACAACAACCTCACTAGCAGAAACAAGTATAGAACAGGTGAACTTAAAATCGTTCAGCTAAGCAAAAAAGAACTCTTAGAAAAAATTCTGACCTACCATTTAGTGAGGAATCGAAGACGTATTGGATTAACTTCAAGTCCTCTGGACTGGTGGGTTTGCTCACTGTAAACGGACCAACTAGATATTTAGACATTTGCTTCACAAGTGAGTCAGATCTCACATTTAAGGAGACCAGAGAAGAACCAGAAATCCCGTCCTTGCTCCTGCAAATATGGACGACAAGAACAGATTGAGAAAAATGATCATCCCATAAAATGTCAACATTTTATCGAAATTGGTTACATGTTCAGTGCCCTCCATTCAATTTCGGGTGACGAAAACTATAGTTACAACAGAACAATCACGTTCACATGTTGTCAACGCGTAAGACATATGCTAATACCTTAAAAAAACAATCCGGTTAAAAAAATTGGTACTATAATTTATCAACGTTCCACCATCAAGCTTAGGAAATGCATATCAAATTTAGCTTCTGCTATTGTTTTATCCTCATGACCCTGTTAAGAATCATTACAAGGGAAGTGTGTGACTGCGCAGCCAAATTTCATAAACCAATAATGGCAGGAAAAAAAACGGGAAAACAATGTTGAGAAATTTAGGGGGAAGAATCATTTTGGATTCACCTGTCTCTAGAAAGTGAAGAACTCAATTGTTTTCAGGGCTTTCCAACCAGTCCTGTCCGCAAATTAAAGCATCTATATGATCTCTGGCCTGAAACCATTGAATGCAACTGCACCGCTGATAGCAGACTTCGATAGAATAGCTGATATTGGAATTGCTAAGAAATCACGAGCCATTTTACCAAGTGCTGGAAATCTTGGAGTATTGACTCGCCACCAAGCTAGTACATCTGAAACCTTATCCCGGTTTTCCAGAGGCTCTCCTAAATACCGATTAAGATCAAGTTTTTGTGAAGCAACCACATCGCCATCATCTTTCTGCTTATGCCACTCACGGAATCCCAGGAACTTATCATCAGAATCTGGATCATGTGATGTCAGACAAGTGGTGTCCTTAGTAGGTGATGCTAGATAACTTCAATATCTTCGCCATTGGACAAACATATTTGTTTTTGCATCTCTCCGTCTATTTTTTGAATAACGTTTAAGTGTTTGTGTAGATTTGAAGTTTCCTTCTTGCTATCCCCTGTATACTTGTTTTTGCATCCTTTATATATGGCCCATACTGCACAATTTTCTTCTATAACCTTATCCAACCATTTCCACACTTCAGATACCTTTCGTCGTTTATTATCAGCACATATGATGAATATATTACCATCAGGATCTGGAGCAGGTTCAATTTTATCATTGTTTTTACTAACTTTAGAACCTCGTTCCCGAGTAATTCTTCTTTCGAAAACATTCTCAAGCTCTTACAAGTTTTCCGTGGAGTAAGCTTGGAAACCTTTTTCCGTCTCTAAATCAAAATCCTGTTTCTCCTCCATGGTCACAAGCTCCAGCATTGCACGGCAATGCATGGGTGCAGCAGAATCAAAGACCGGAAAGGCAATAATACCCGCAATAATCCACAAGAGATGGCATCTGATAGCTGTGAGTATTCACTCGGTCCGTAATAGCGTACATTTGAA